ATAAGACCTGCCAAAGAGACTGGTTTCTCCTCTAAGTGCAGTGGGAAGGCAGAGGCTTTGAGCAGGGGGATAATGTCTGATTTGCTTTTTTTTAAGGTCAGTCTGGCTGCCAAGTGGAGAAGCTGGAGCAGAAGTGGAGGCTATTATGAGTCTTAGCATGAAACCAGGGCATGTTGGGGAAAGGACGCTGTGTACCTGCACCTCTCTGACCACTGACACCTCACCCTCTCGTTCTAGGCCCTCTTGGTCTCTGGGGAGCACACCCTGGGCGGCAGTAGGCTCCTGCTACACTCCAAATGCCAGCTGGGCCTTGCCCCAGACCCAGACCACGGCCTGCACCTCAGCCTGATCCTCCGCAACCACAGCAGGCCCCGAATGCCTGACTTCTCTGGGGAGTTAGAGGTGGGTGGCTGGGTCGAGGCTGCCCACCCCAATGGCAAGATGCCCTGGTGTCCCTCTGTCCCTGTCTGGCCAGTGGGCCACCATTGCCTGGGCGGCCCTGCCTTCTAGTGGCTACTCCTGGAACTGCAGGCAGACACCGGGTAGAGACCAGAGTTTGACTGTAGGTGGGACCCTCCCGGGCCAGGCCCCAGCCCTGAGACAGAGCGCCCCTGCTGCCCCAGCATGAGCCCTTTCTGTAACGGAGAGGCACTGACTGGGATGCTGGGGTTTGACAGCCTAACCTCTTCCTAGCTAGCAACTTGAATCCCTTCTGTGCCTCGGTTTCCTGTACCTATAAAGTGGGGTGTAGTCATTCCACCTACGCTACCCACAGTGGGATTAATATTGCAGGGATTAAATATGTTAATATGTGGGCTTGGAGCCAGCAGGGGGCAGAGGCCAGGGGAAGGGGCCCGGCCCTACTCAGGCCTCTGCCCTCCCCCCCCAGCTCCGTGGCCCCAAGGCTCAGAGGCTTGGTCTGCTGGGCCGGGTGTCCACCTCGGCTTCCCGAAGTTTGATCCAGCTGGAGGGAAATGTGGACAATGGGGACGAGAAAGTGAGGCTGTCGGTGTCCCAGGCCCCGAACTGCCTCCAGGCCTCAGTGGCCCATGAGCAAGGTGAGTGGGGGGCCCAGCCAGGCCCAAGAGAGGACAGAGATTGGGGTGCTGAGAGCTTAGAAGACAAAGGAAACCCTGGGAGGACATCATGGCACCTGCAGCTTGGAGGCGATGCTGTTCCCTGTGGCCGCCTGCGTTGACTGTGATGCCAGGAGGGGGGACGAGGTCCAGATGTGTGGACAGAGGTGGGCAGAGGCTGGGGACAGGGAAGAAGCCATGCTTCAGGGGGTTGAGGAGGTTGATTTAGGCAGACCCTCAAATCTAGGGCCTTTGAGACTGCCTGAGGGCAGTGGGGAGCTACAGAAGGCTGTGGAGTGCAGGGGGAGCAGGCAGCTGGGAGGCAGATGGATGAGTCCTGGGTGCAGCAGCAGGTCCCGTCCTGGTCCAGGGAGCCAAGAGGAGAGCGTGGTGCTGCGGGCCTGTGCCCACCGGTGGACAGCTGAGGTAGAGGCCCTGCTCCAGGACAGTGGGCAGCCTGTCCAGCCCCTGGGACGCTTGACCCTGCAGGCTGCCAACCAGAGCCTCCGCTTGGCTGCACTCGGCTGCCAGGGGACCCTGCTGGGCCACATGGAGGTGAGAGGGCTGGAGGCTATTCCTACTGCCCCCCCAACCCCAACCCCTTCCCCCACCCCGCCTAGCAGAGGCCACAGCGCCAGGATGCCTGAGCCCTTTGGGCCCAGCAGTGCTGGGAAAACCAGAGGCAGACGTCCAGTGGTGTGGCAAACATCCTTGGGCCCTACTGCTGGCACCAAGTGTGTTCTGTCCTTCATTCCCATGAGCCCCAGCCCGTCCCTCTGTCTGCAGTCCCGGATTGCTGCTCTCGGGGCCCAGGTGCAAGCTCGGCTGGAGGAGAAGATCCGCAGCTTGGATGCCTACGTGAGAAGGTTCCAGCGCCTGGTGGGTGGCACTGGGCATCAGGGCACACTTGGAGAATGTGAGGGAGGACGGTGGGGGAGCCTCTGTATGGGGTTACCCCTCTGGCCTGTCCTGGATGCCCCTCAGACACATGACGGTCTTTGGAGCTCTCTGTGCTCTAGACCCTCCCATTGACCCTCCATCTCCCTGCCCAGGTGCAGCCGACAGGCACCCTGGACAGTGCAGCAGGCCCCCCTCCATGGCTGACCCGGGAGGGCCTGGGGGCCGTGTGGGGGAGTGGCCGGGCGGTGGCCACACTGTGGGGCCAGAGCCAGGCCAGGCAGACGCTGATACGTGTGCTGCTCTACCTGGAGAGGCTGCAGGCGGGGCTGGAGCAGCTGCGGAATGAGCTGGAACGTGAGTGCACCCAAATCCATGCCCAACCCCAGGGCCCCCGCCCCCAGTCCCCTCACACTTGGCCGGGGGCACTAGTTCAATCAGAAAGGCCACCTGATTTCTGGCGGGCCTGCAGCCCAACTTCATTTAGACCCTCTGCCTTATTTCTCATGGGCCCTCTGCCGTATTTCTCTTTAAGTACAACGTGTTCATTCTTGCAGGTCTCCAAGCTCTTATCCCTCATGCCCGCTGCCTTATTTCTTTTGGGACTGCCACCCGAGTTTCTCCAGTCCCCACCTGATTTCTTCTGGGCATACAGCCTTATTTCTAGTAGGCTGGCCGCTGTAGCATTCCGGGGCTACTTCGGGCTCTGTGATGATGAGCGCCAGTGAGGCCGTGCAGGGGGCTAGGGCTTCTGCCTGGGTACTGACTGGCTGCTGTCCTGAGCCCTCCTGGCGGTGCCGGAGCCTCCGGCCTCTGCCCTGTCCAGGAGCACCAGGGCTGACGGCTGGCCCAGCGTGGAGCCCCCAAGACCCTGCCTGGCACCAGGCGGGTGTCTGACTGACTGGTGCTCGGGCCGGATGGGCTGTTAAATGTCCTCTCAGCCCTGCTTGTGCCTCTGCCTCGGAGTCCCAGGGCCGCCCCAGCCTGGCGGATTCACTAGGACTCCCAGTTCTCAGCAAGGCTGCGATTTGTCACAGGGAAAGTACACAGGGCCAGGTTGGCAGAGGACCACGTGCAGGACAAAGGCCGAGAGAGCCCAAATACAAGCTTCCGGAGTCTTCTCTCCCAGGGGGCACACAGGACAGCTTCAACTCTCCAGTTTCGAATTGTGACAACACCTGTCCAATGTCCAGCAGGGGAGCTCGTTGGAGACCCCATGCCCAGGCTGTTCCCGGGGGGCGACTGGTCACACAGGAGCCTCTGCTGGGCACAGACTGACCTTCCAGACTCGCAGAAGGAAGGAGTGTTCAGCCTAAACCACACTGCCTGTGCCGTCCAGGCACAGCGAGGCCCCCTTATCCGTGCTGGGAAGGGTGGGGCCCCTCCTGAAATCCAGGCTCCCAAATGCCAGCCCAGGGCCGACCCTGTGAACAGGCCTTTGTGGCGGGAAGTCCCAGGCTCACGGGGCTATTTTCCACCGTCTCTAGTGCCGCCACCTCATTCCAGGTCACAGGCTCTTTATTTCTTGGAATCCCTGGTTGTCTAGGGGCTAGTTTTCCTGTCTGGGCCTGGGATGCAGGCTATGGCATCTTCCCTGTCCCCAGACCCCGGGAGGCCTCACAGTGGGCTGTGGCTGCCTCTGCAGGGCCCCTGGCCACGCTGAAGGACGCTTACTTGGAGGTGACACTGCGGCCCTTGGACGAGGTGTGGCGGGAGTGGGCCGAGGAGGCCATGCGGTGGATGCAGGCCTGGGTGTCCCGGATGCCGGGGGCCTGGGCATCCAGGCCCATCGGGGCAGCATTAGAAGCCACGAGGGGCGCCCTGGAGCTGGTGAGGTGGGGCGAGGGGGCGGAAGGCAGCCCTGCAGGCAGGGATGGCGCTGCTGGCTCTCACACCCCGACCCCTCCAGGCCACTGAGCAGATGCTGTCTTGGATGGAAGTCGTGATCTCACAGGCACTGAGGAGGCTCTGCAAACCCTTGCTGGACCTGTACCGCTTCTCGGCCAGGTGACTTGGATTTGTCCCTCCCTGAGGGGCTGCCCCACCCCAGGCACCTGCTGGATGCCTCCATCTCATTCGCTCCTCCCAACAGCCCTGCCACAGAGGCCTTCCCAGTACCCATTTTACAGATGAGGAGACTGAGACTGAAGACTTCATTCCACAGGTTATCTTAAGAGTATGCCCTCTAAGCAGGCGTTGTTTTAGGTGCTGCAGATGCAGTGGTGAACAGGACAGATCTGGCCATCATGGAGTCCACGGGTGACTGGGGAGATGGTCACTGAAAACAGGGACCAGGTTATTGACCCCAGGGGCCAGCACACCTTTCCTATAATAGACCTGAGAGTGAAGTGTTCCAGCTTTGTAGCCAGATGGTATCTCACATAGCCTTTATTTATTTGGTTTTGTCTTTTAAAGAATCCTTTAAACATGTAAAAGATATTCTTAGCTGGCAGGCTGTCCAAAAATGGGACACAGGCTGGATTTGGCCATGGGCTGTAGGCTACCAGCCTCTCAGCTAGTATGTTAGGTGCCAAATGCTACAGAAAAAAAAAAAGGACAAGTGGGTTGAGGGGGGAGCACTGTAAGGAACGTGGCTGTGGTCGACTTCAAGGAGAAAATAGCATTTGCACCAGGGCTTGAAGGGTGAGGGAGCGAGCCGTGTGTTCTTCACGGGATGAGAGTTCCAGGAGGAGGGCACAGCTGGTGCAAAGGCCCAGGGGTGGGGATGCACCTTCTGCTTGATGAGTATGAAGGAAACCAGGAGGGCTGAAGTGCAGGGTGGAGGATTCAGAGTTAACGGGGTTCCAGGCAGCCCGAGACCTTTGTCTGTTACTCTGAAGTGGGAACTCACAGGAGGTTTTGAGCCGAGGAAGGACATGATCTACCTTTCACTTAAAAAGATCCCTCTGGCCCTCCGTGTTGAGAATGAAGACTGGGACAGGAACAGGGAGCATAGAGGTAGGGAGCCCAATTTAGAATGGTCCTGGTGGTGGTTGTCCAGGCGAGACAGGAGAGTGGCTCTGTGAGCAATGGCAGCCGTGGAGGGAGTATGAGGTGGTCAGATTCTGGATGTTTTCAGGATAAGCCTCTAGGATTTGCTTACAGACTGAATGTAGCTGATGGAAGAGAGGAGCCAGGGATGACTCCAAGGGTTTTGGCTTTGACAGCTGTTAGGATGGAGGATCTGTTTATGCAGCAATGGGGATGACGAGGGTGGGGGGGTGCAGATTGGAGCTTTGCTAATTTTCTATTGCTGCTCTAGCAAATTACTGCAAATGCAGTGGCTTAAAGCAACACAAATTTATTCTTGTGTCGCTCTGGAGATCAGAAATTTGAAATGAATTTCAGGTTCCTCCCGGAGGCTCAGGGGAGAACCATTCCTTTACCTTTTCCAGCTGCCTGCCTTCCTTGGCTCATGGCCCCAATTCCATCTTCAAAGCCTAGAGTGCAGCGCCTTCTCGCCTTTAACTGTTGTCCTTATATCTCCTCTCTGACCCCCCTGCCTCTCTTATAAGGTCTATTGTGACTCCATTGGCCCACCTGGATAATCCTTCTCAAAATCCCTAACATAGTCACACCTGCAAAGTCCCTTTGGCCATCTAAGAACACAGTTGTCAGTCACAGGGGCTTGCGTGTCTTTGGGACCGTTGTTCAGCCTACCGTGGTGGGAGCGGGTGAGCTTTTTTCTGGACCTGTTGAGTGTGAGAAGCCCTCAAGACCTTCCTAGGCAGCTGACTTGGAAGCCTGGGCCGTAGAGCAGTTTGGAAGTTGTCAGAGAAGTTACTAGCCAGCCTCAGTGACAGGTCATGGGGAGGCCCTGCGGGGAACGGGGGCCTAGAACCGTGACAGGTCCCTCCTCCACGGCTGGCAGCCTCACAGCGGGCAGCTTGAGCTTGAATCCAGCTCTAACTGGGGCAACCCTGGATTGGCTCTTGTGTCTGAGTTTCCCCTCCTGATAGGAAAGGTGGGGTGTGTAAAGTTCCTGCCCTGGAGCTGGTGCCCAGTCTGCTGTCAGAACGTAGGCTACTGGTGAGGAGCTGCAGGCAAGGCAGTGTTTTAGTTCAGATGCAGAATGATGGACCAGACAAGGCTGCTTGAAAAGGGAAGGGGCTGCTGGGGACACAGTGGGGTCCTGTCCCTGGGGGTGTTCCAGCACAGGGTCACCACTGGATGCTGGTGCCATAAGAGGAATTCAGGCCACCTTCTGCCCCAAACTGCAGGTTCCCTGGGCTGCTCAGGGGGAAGGTAAATGTCTCCTGCCCCCTCCATCGGCCCACCTACAGGAGAGTGTGACGCATCCCTTGTCCCCTGGGAACCCCAAGGTGGCCTGGGGCCTCCCTGCACCTTCAGATCCCCGGGGTCGACAGGACCAGTCTTCTACGTCCCTACAAAGTGCCAGTGTCCTCCCTCAGTGTGGAACCTCTGGCCCAGGTTCCCTTTGGCTCTGACCTCCTGCTTCTGCTGATACCCTTGCTGCCCTCATCAGTCCCTCGGGATCCACACACAAGGCTGTCCCTGTGCTGATCCGAGGCTCTTGGGGACAGCACATACATTCGGGCCCCAGCACGAGATCAGACACCTGCATCCTTAAAATAGAATGGCCACTAAAATAGGATGGCCAACCTCCACCCCATTATACCCCCGCCCAAAACAAAGCCCGTTTCCTCCCTAAGAGGCTGATGGTCTGCAGAGGTCATGCTTATGCCAGACCTCCACGTGGCTGTTCTGCAGCTGCAGAAAGTAAGGCTCTGACAGGCTCAGCTTGGGCTGGGGTCTCCCAGCTCCTCCGTGCTCCCTCCAGGGACCGCTCGGTGGTGGTGACGCTGCCGCTGCTGCCTGTGGGAGACGAGCCCCTGGATGTGGCCCGCGTGACCAGCCACCTGGTGGAGGAGAAGCTGCTGCGGCCGCTCCGAGAGCTGTACAGAACCAGCATGCTGACTGGGTACCACCGGCTCAGACGCCACCTGCAGGGGAGCCCCTCTGGATGTGCGTCCTGCGCTGCCCTCCTCCCTGGGAGCCCCTGCGGGATGTGGGAGGAGGACCTGGCAGGGCAGATGGACAGTGGGATTGTTCCTTGGTCACCCAGGGAAGCCTTAGCATTGTTGTGCTGGGCCCATCTGGTCCCCGGCTGAGCCCAGAGGGTACTGGGCTTCCCAAGGTCAAACAGGACTAGGGTGGGGCTGCAGATTCAGGCTTTTATCCAGAACATAAGAGCCTGGAGCATGCAGGGAGGTGTGTGAGTGGCTGAGGGCTCCAGGCCAGCTTCCTCCCGGCGGACCCTGCAGGAGAAGCAAAAGGCAACCCTCCAGTTGTAGCCAGAAGCCACTAATTGAGTCCAGACTGTCGTCAGGCAAGGCCTGGAGCTGCAGGCAATGCTGGGACCAGCTCAGGGGGCTTGGAGGCCCTAGGAGTTTGCCTCGGTCCTCCCCTGAGTGTGCTCTGGTGAGCCTTCGCACCTCTCTCGGACTGGAGCAGGCAGCGTGGCTCACTCGTGTGGTACCAAGCATGTACCCTGGGTGCCGGAGAGGGTCTCAAGTCTGTGGGCCGTCGTGGCTCCCAGGCCTTGGCAAGGGCTGGTGTGTAGTGTGGGGTCTTGTGATCGCCCAGGTGTGAACGCGGCGGCTCGGGTGGGTGGGTGGGTGCCCTCCTAGAGTCAGGGTACTTATCCACTATGCAAAGCGTTGACTGGAAACAGCCTGGCCTTTCGGTTCCATATGTGTGACCTGGGGCTGGCCTGTGACCTTCGGCTCTGACACCCTGTAAAGCCATCACGGCCAGTAAGTGGCAGGGACCTGGTCCTGGCGTGTGTTCAACAGGTGGTGATTCTCTTATCCACTCCCCACCCCCGACCTAAGCAGTGGTGATGGCTCAGAACCAGCCTTCTCTGGTGAAGAGGGCAGGGCCCAGCCAACATGGCACCTCCTCCTGTGGGATGGAGCCTTTTGCCCCATGTATGTGTGTATATATATAATTTTTAACAGTGGATATGTCTGTCTCCTGCAGTTGCTTCATTGAGATCTAATTCACGTACCACCCAAGTTGCCCATTTAAAGTCACCGATTCAGTGGCTTCTGTCTCTTCACAGAGGCGTCTGTCCATCATCACAGTCAGCTGCAGAACGTCGTCATTACCCCGCATCCCTTAGCTCTCGGTGCCCCCATCCCTCGGCTTTCTGTCTCTGCGTCTGATAGCGTTTGCCTATTCTGGACACTGGGTGGGGGCGGAAACGTCCTCGTCTCTGATGGGCTTTTCGCTCAGTGCAGAGTTTCCGAGGCTTACCGTGCTGGAGGGTGTACCACTCCTTGGTCCCTTTTTATTGCCAGCTTGGCTGTAGACTGTTCATCTTGGGGCTCCTCTAGACCTCAAGTCATCTTGAAGCCCAGGGTTCCTGGGAACAGACACCCCCCGTCCCCACACTGGACTGCCCCTGAGGACACGGGCCAAGGAACAGGACCTGGACACCCTGGGGTGCCCCGGGGGCTCAGGGCCCCCATGCAGTGGGCACAGTGGGCCCTTCTCACCTGCCTCTGGCCTCTTTCCCCCAGACCATGCTGTGGTGGCTGGGGCCAGGCACGTGGTGACCTTTGACGGCCGGGTGTGGGGTCTCAGCACCCACTGTGGCAGCCTGCTGCTGGCCAGGGACTTCGCTCACGGCACGTTCTCACTGACGCTGAGCCGGGCAGGCTCAGGGCTCACGTCCCTGACTATAGAGCTGAACCACAACACCCTTGTCTTCTACCCCAGCCTGAAGGTGAGTGTGCGAGAGTGGGAGGGGCCGGCCACCAAGGACACGGGCCGCCCCGCGGGCTGTCATGCCCGCATGCCTGTGCCCCGTGGAGCACGTCGCCTGTCCTGCTCAGCCCCTGTCTGGCCCACAGACCTACAGGCTGTACAACAACTCCCTGCCTGGGGAGAGCTGTCTGGACCTGGTTTTGCCTCCGCCTCCTGCCAAGACCAGGATCGAGCTGACCAGTGAGGACGGCGTCTCCATTACCTGTGACGTCCAAGCCGGCCTCTGCAGCCTGACTCTGGGCGTCTGGCAGCACGGTGGGTTTGGGCCCCTGCTGGCAACTTTAAGCCAGGGCGGGGTCAGCTTCCAGGGCAGGACAGCACTCTGTGTCCTTGGGAGGCTGGGGGCTCGCAACCAGAAGAGTCAAAGGCTGTCTCTCCCACCTTTGAGCTCCTGCACTGGGACAGTCCTTACTCTAGGGGCAGCGCAGCTCTTGATGCAGCCCTGCTGGGTGACTGCGGCCCTGTTTCAGGCGCTATAATACACACAGTCCTGTCCTCTTCACGTGAGCCTCCCACTGTCGTCCCCTGGGACAGATGACCTGACTGAGGTTAATTTACCGGCCCCTACTCCCACGGCCACGAGCCCCAGAGCCGGGCTTTGAGCCCAGGGCTGTGGCCCCGCGTTTCTCCCCCTTCTCTGGGAGCACCTCCCGGCCACTCAGGATGGGGATGCTGGACAGGGGAGGCCTGGGGCGGAGCACAAATCTTTCTTCAGTCCCTTTTCTCCTCTCCCTCTGGTGAAGGTTCAGAGGGCTGGTGTTGCAGGGGTCAGGCGTGGAGGGTGTAGGGCTTAGCCAGACCCACCACTGACCCTGTCCAGCAGGCTCTCATGGCCTGCCCTCCCTTCCCTGCCCCACAGGCCTGTCCGCCGGCTTCCTGGGCACCAATGACAATGAGGCAGACAATGAGCTGATGCTGCCGGATGGCTCGGTGGCCAGCAGCCTGGAGGAGTTCACGCTCGCCTGGCAGGTGAGCCGATTGGCAGCCCTTCCCCCTCGGGCTTGGGCATCATCACTAGGGCACGCCACTGGGGGTGGAGATTGGAAACAGGTGTGATCAGGTGTGCCCTGGAGCAGGAAGGGTCTGTGTGGATTTGCCATGGACCAGAACAAGGTGCAGGTGTGGCCCCCATCTGAGCCGAGGGATGGTTGTCCCCTCTCAAGGCTGCTGCACCTGGTGGAGCTGCCCAAGAGGAAAGAGGTCCAGGCAAGAGGCCTGAGTCTTGGGTTCATCCTGCCAGGTGGGTAGTGACTGCAGGGTCGTGGAGAAGACTCAGCTGGCATGCCTAGGACAGAGCCCCACCTGCCAGGCTTTCTTCCAGGACCCCTACTCCAGCCTGGGGAACTGCTTCGGGGTGGTGAGTGTGAGGCTGTGGTGGCCATTCAGCAGGTGGACCACAGGACAAAGAAGGCCCTTGCCCCGGTATAGCCTACACCCCTCCTCTGTGCTACTCCCAAGAGTGTGGTGGGCAAGGACACTGACTGCAGCTCGATTTCAGGTGGACCCCACACCCTTCCTCAACCTGTGCCTCCAGGACACCTGTGGCACCCAAGAGCTCCAAACTGCCTGCCCCCTGGCGGCCACCTACATTCACCTGTGTGCCCGGGGATTCGTGCCCATGGACCCTCCTCCACAGTGTGGTAAGCTGCATGGCCAGCAAGCACTAGGACCCCTGCCTTCCAGCCCAGAGGGAAAACCAGGTCCTTTCTCTTAGCTCCTGCCAAGGGGATAGGCACTCAGTTGTCATACAGTGAGCTAATAAGAGTCAAAACAAAGCTATGTGCAAAGGAGTACTTACTAAGAAAAAGAGGTCCAGCCACGTCTAGCAAGCCCTGTGACCTCTGGCACAGGAGACAATAGCTCTGGGAGGTCAGGCAGCTATAAGAGATAGTCACCTCCTGAAAACTTACAACCACAGACCTGCCATTAGGAGGTTTGAATGTACACTCTACAATGGGTGCATGTGTGCCCAGGGGTCCCCAATGTCATGCATGATTCCTGTGGCTAAAGCCCCACTACACAGACACGGAAGTCAGCAACTGCACCAGACCACAGCAGTGTAACCCTGTTAAAAGTACCCATAACACTCATAAAAGAACAGTAAGGCAGGCTTTATTCGGGGATCTGTGGTGATAGGTATAGGGGTCCACTGCAGTAGAGGGAGAAAGACTGGGCTCAGCTCTTAGTCCAACAGGGAAAAGGGGGAATTTATAGTCCAGGAGCAGGGTGGGGATCAGGGGGTGGAAAATTACTAAGAAGAAACATCAGGGGTGAGGGAGATTCTGGCTAACCTGGCCTAACAGGATTCTTGCTGAAGGCAGGCCACGGTGATGAGACATCACCAGGTGAGGACTCCTATCAGATGTCGAGGTGATCAGCTGTGGAGGGTGGGAATTCCTGCTAAACTGACTTAGCAGAATTCCTGCCAAAATTGGACAATGCAGAGATGACAACGGAAGCCTAAAAATCAGGGCCTAGTTGAGAGGAGTTCTAAGAAGCCTGAGTAGAGTTTGGTCAAGGAGAAAATCTTTCTCCAAAATTTTTGGATGCTAGAATTAGAGATTATCAAAGATAACTTCTAGAAATGAAAATATTCACTGAGATTTAAACTTAACTAATGTTCTCTTCTGCTGTTGATTCTGTTAACTGGAAAACCCGATTAAGTGAGAAACAGGGAGACAGGGCCCAGATAGAGTAAATCTCTGGAAACTGACTCAAAAAATAGAGGCCTTGAGACTCAACAGAGACTTTAAAATAACCATCTTAAATATGTTCAGTCAGCAGGAGAAGAAGGATGGGTTGGGCGACTAAGTGAAACCAGGAAAACAGTATCTGAGCAAATTGAGAGTATCAGCAAAGACGTTACAAAGAACCCAAAACATTCTGGAGCGAAAAAATACAATAATTTGTGCTGCCTCCAAGAGATGCAGTTTAGATCTAAGGACACACATAGGTTGAGAGTGAAAGGATAGGAAAAGATACTCCATAGAAACAGTAACAGTAAAAGCACAGTCCAAGAATGAATAGAGAGGTGAGCAATAAAGGACTAGAGAACTTGAACAACATGACAGATCGAGTGGACCTAACAGAAATGTACACAGTACTCCACCCAACAACAGCAGGGTATCTGTTTTTCTCAAGTGCGCACTGAACATTCTTCAGGATAGACCACATGTTAGGTCACAGAACAAATCTAAATAACTTAAAAAATTGAAATTATACAAACTATTTTCCAGTCACAGTGGAAACTAAAAATGGCAGAACTGGAAAAAAAATCACAAATTGTACAAAATTAAACGAACAGCATACTCTGAAACACCCTATGAGTCAAAGAAATCACAAGGTTAATTAGAAAATATCTTGAGACAAATGAAAATGAAAACACAACATACCAGAAGTATGGGCTTTAGAGAAAGCAGTGCTAAGAAGGAAATGTATCGTTGTAGATCCCTCCACTAAAGAAGAGGAGCTCAAATCAACACCGTAACTTTACTCCTCAAGGATCCAGGAAAAGAACAAACCAAACCTAAAGCTAGCAAAAGGAAGGAAATCATAAAGATTAGTGCAGAGATAAATGTAGAGAATAGAAAAACAAGAAAGAAAATAATGATCCCAAAAGTTGTTTGTTTTTTTTTTAAAAGATCAACTGAACTGACAAATCTTTAGCTAGATAGACTAATATAAAAAAAGACGACTCGTCAGTAAAATCAGAAATGAAATTGGGGCCATTACGACTGATTTTTACAGAACCAAAAAGGATTAGGAAAAAGTACTATGAACGCTTGTATGACAGCAAATTGGACAACCTAGACGAAATGGACAAATTCCTAGAGATGAGATATATAACATGCCAAAGCTGAATCATGAAGAAACAGAAATCTGAACAGACTTGTAACTCACAAGAAAATTGACTCAGTAATCAAAAACTTCCCAACAAAGAAAAGCTCTGGGCCAGATAGTCTCACTAGTGACTTCTACCAAGCATTTAAAGACTTAAAACCAAGCCTCCTCAAACTTGTACCAAAAAATTGAAGAGGGAACATCTCCAAATCCATTTTATGAGGCCAGAATTATCTTGATACCAAAGCTACAGACACTTCAAGAAAACTACAGAATAATACCCCTGATGAACACAGATGCAAAAATCCTCAAAAAAAAAAAAATACAGCTGGCCCTCCATATCTATGGGTTCTACATCCACAGATTCAACCAACTACAGGTTGGAAATATTAAAAAAAAAATCCATACTGGCAAAATTTACATAGCATTTACATTATATTAGGTATTATAAGTAATCTATAGATCATTTAAACTATACAGGAGGATATATATAGGTTATATGCAAACACTATGTCATTTTGTATAAGGGACTTAAGCATCTCCAGATTTGGTATCTGGGGGGGGGGGTTCCTGGATCCAATCTCCATGGATACTGAGGGATGACTATATTGGCAAACAGAATTCAAGAGCACAGGAAAAGGATTCTACACCACAACCAAGTGGGGTTGTTCCTGAAATGCAAAGATGGTTCAACATAGGAAAATCAATGTAGTATATACCACATTAGCAGAATAAAAGGGAATAAAAAACACACGATCTTCTGAAATTGATGTAGAGAAAACATTTGACAAAATTCAGCACCCTTTCATGATAAAAATACTCAACAGTCTAAGAATAAAAGGAAACTACCTTAACATAATAAAGGCCACATGTGACAAGCCTGCAGATAACGCCATATTCAGTGGTAAAAGACTGAAAGCTTTTCCTCTAAGATCAGGAATAAGACAAGGATGCCTACTTTTGCCACTTTTGTTTAATACAGCATTGGAAGTCCTAGTCAGAACAATTAGGCAAGAAAAAGAAACAGAAAGCATCCACATTGTAAAGGAAGAAGTTATCTCTGTTTTCAAATGACAGGATCTTATACATATGTAGAAAACCGTAAAGATTCAAAAATCTTAAAAACTCGTTAGAATTGGTAAACAAATTTGGCAACGTTACAGAATATAAAATCAACACGCAAAAATCAATCGTTTCTATACACTAACAATGAGCAATCCAAAAAGGAAATTAAGAAAATAATTCTATTTATAATAGTATCAAAAAGAATAAAATCCTTAGTAATAAACTTAACTGAAGAGGTGAAAAACTCTTACATTGAAAACTACAAAGCATTACTGAAAGAAATTCAAGCAGATACAAATAAATGGGAAGATAGCCCATGTTCATGAATTGGAAGACTTAATATCACTTAATATCATTAAAGTATGAATACTACTCAGTGATCTAGAGATTTAATGCAATTTCTGACAAAAATCCCATGGCTCTTTTTTTTTTTTCCCAGAAATAAAAAAAACCTACCCGAAAATTCATACGAAATCGCAGAGGCACCCCAAATAGCCAAAGCAATCTTGAAAAAGAACAAAGTTAGAGGACTCACACTTCCTGGTTTCAAAACTTGTAACATATGCTACAGTAATCAAAACGGTGTGGCACTGGCGTAAAGAGACATACAGACCAAAGGCATAGCATAGCCCAGAAGTAGACCCGTGCACATATGGTCAAACGATTTTTGACAAAGATGTCAAGACCATTCGATGGAGGAAGTAGTCTTTTCATCAAACGGTGTCAGGAAAAATGGATATCTACATGCACAAGAATTAAGTTGGACCCTTACCTTATACCATATAAAAACCTTAGCTCAAAGTGGATCAAATACATAAATGTAAGAACTAAAACTATAAAACTCTTAGAAATCTTAATGACATTGGGTTTGGCAATGATTTCTTAGTATAAAGGCAGCCTATGGAATGGGAACAAACATTTGCAAATCTTATCTGACAAGGGGTTAATATTCCAAACACATAAAGAACTTCCACAACTCAGCCTGTTTTAAAAATGGTCAAAGGAGTTGAATAGACATTCCTCCAAAGAAGCTGTACAAATGGCCAGCAAGTACATGAGAAGATACTCAGCATCACTAATCATTAGGGAAATGTGAATCAAAACCACAATGGGATACAAACACATCTATTAAGATGGCGACTATCAAAAAATTAGAAAATAGTGTTAAAGATGTGGAGAAATTGGAACCATTGTGTACTGTTGGTGGCAATGTAAAATGGCGCAGCCAGTATGGAAAACAGGTTGGCGGTTCCTCAAAAAAATTAAAAATTAAATTACCATATCCAGCCATTCCACTTCTGGGTATACACTCAAAAGAACTGAAGGCAGGATCTCAAAGAGGTCTTTGTACACTCACCATAGCATCATTATTCACAACAGCCAAAAGTTACAAAGCATCTATCAACTGAATGGATAAATAAAATGTGTGTGTATGTATACACACACTATGGAATATTACTCAGCCTTAACAAGGAAGGAAATACTGACACATGCTACAACATGGATGAACTTTGAGGACAATATGGTGAGCGAAATAAACCAGTCACAAAGGGACAAGTAGTCTATGCATGCCCTTATGTGAGGTACCTGGAGTCGCCAAATTCATAGAGAATGTAAGTGGTGGTTGCCACAGGCTAGTCTAAGTGGGTAATGGTAGTTATTTAATGGGGATCAGGTTTGCAAGATGAAAAGAGTTCTGGAGACGGGTTGCACAACCACGTGAAGGTACTTAGCACTGCTGACCCGTGCACTTAGTGGTTAAGTGGTAGGTTTTATGTTATGTATATTTTGCCACAACCAAGGACCTTTTGAATTAAAAAACTTTCTGAGCATCTACTTCATATGCTAGGCGTGGTAATACAACTATAAACACTGTACTTACAAACGCTGTAATTATAAAAAATGAACACACTTAAAGAGACAAAATTCTAAGAGCGAGAACCAGCACAGACAATAGACACCCACAGGAATTCAGAACAGGGTTTATCTAACACAGACTGTAAATTCTGGCAGGGAACTAGAAATTATTAGAAGTGTAATATCATATCTGGAAAAGAACCAAAAATATAATATCAACAGATGACAGAAAAGGCACTTAATGAAATTCTCTGATGCTCATATTTTCTTTTTTAAAAATTCTCTTGGCAAATGAGGATTTGGAGGGACTTTCCTTAACCTGATAACTTAAGGTATTGGGTATCCAGCCATTAACGTCACAGTTGATGGAGAAACACCAGAAGCAGTCCCTTTAAGGTCAGCAAGAAGATAAAGAGACTCTGTCTCTGCTTCTATTATATATGTATTAATGACCCCACCCCACTTTATAAGATCAAAAAAGAAAAAGAGAAATGACATACAGGGATTAAAACTCACCTGACTTGCCCAGAGAGGGTGCAGAGGGTGCCTGGGTCTATGACCCCTATGTTGAAAAGGTCCACGCTCCAGTGTGGGCTGAAGATCCAAGAGGTAAGGCTGGTTCCTTCTGAAAGTGCAGAGAAGTCATTCAGAGGTCACCAAATGTTCTGGAAACACTTGAGTGTCCCTGCTACTTTTATGACCTGGATACCCTCTCGCCATCAGGATTCAGCCCCTGAACTCCCCTTTCCCCCTAATTTGGGTGCAGCCTCCATGCTCCCAAAGCATCATGTGCTAGGGATCAGCCTTCCCCCAAGTTGGGGACTCCTGGCATTGTGGGGGCCACATCTTGGTTCTCTGTTTTGCAGGTACAGGGAGCCATCTAACAACACCTGCTGCTCTTCCAAAGGAGGAGATGTCCTTTCAGTGAGAGCCACTCTAGGCCTGACACTGCTGGGCCTGCAGAGTGCCAGGGGCTGTAACAGGGGCCCCCAGCTCAATTCAGGGAAACAGAGGGCACTGCCTGCCCTCTGGGTCCAAAGCAAAGCATTACTTCTCTTCTCTTCTCTTTGCAGTTTGAGATTTTGCCTGAGCCAGTACCAGGCTGCCAGAGATTTCAGACTCACCTACCACAATCCTGTTCCATCACCAAGGTCACGGTTCTTGTCTGGGGCAGAATGACCAGCATAAAAAAACAGGAAGCTCAGAGAAGATCAGGAAAAGTACAGATCCAGGAAAGAAGAGCCATTAGTCAATGATTTCCAAATGCTTTCTGGGAGCAGCGAAGCCCACACTGGGCTGGATAATGCTCCACCTTCCTCAGCACCTGCACTGTGGTCTAGGAGACAGTCCAACCCGCGGGACCCACCTCTGGAGGGAGAAAGCCATGCCAGCAACTCTTCCTGCCCAAGATGTTCATTTACTCATTCAGCTGCTGTCTCCAAAGCCTTTGCTGTATGAGCCAGACTGCCCCAGGGTCTTTCTAGACCAGGACTGGCTTCCCCTGCCCTCTGCGCAGGTCTCCCCTAAGGCCTGAGGCTCCTTGAGGGAACTGATGGTCCCAAATCCCTTAATCCCAAGGCTGGTTGGGTGCTTCCCTCTTTGGGTTAGATCCTGACTCTCGGTCTCATTGTTTCAGGGGGCACTTGAGAAGGGCCGGTGGATGTTCTGGGCACCTGGGCACTCAGACCCCAAGGATGCAGCCTTCAAAGCTGTTCACTTTTTGGGGGAGCCGTGGGGAGGCTTTACCCTTGAATTTTCAACTGAAAAATAAAGCTGGCAGAATCCGAGAAGGCATCCATTAGATTGCTGGGGTCAGCCATCCACTGGCGAGATGCGGGGTGGGCCTTGAGTGGCTGTGAAACCTCCCGCCAGTAGGGGGCCCCCAGAGCCCTCTCGAAACTGAGTTCTAGAGTCCAGATTCCAGAGTGACGGGTGAAGAAGTGTCAGCCTCGAGGAGTGGGGTGACCAGAAGGCCAGACGCTAGGCTCGGCTGTCCCTGGCCTCCCTGACCCACAGCAGGTGCTCAGTGAAGTTGAGAAGAAGGAACTCTAGAGACTCTTAGCGTTTTCCGGAGTGAATGGGAATGGGGAAGCCAGAACTGCCCGTTCCCATACTCCGGAAGGAAGAGAGGGGGAAGGGGTGCCATGACTGAGCTTGCATCGTGTTGCCATGGCTACTACCAAAAGACCCCAGAGTCCAAGCACTGCTCTTTGAAAGATGTTTGATCTCTTCTCAGACCTTATTAATTACCTGATGAGGGGTGGATGACCCCGTGTAATGGAAGAAGCAGCAGGCTCAGGGAGCCCAGGGGGCTTACCCAAGGTCACACAGCTAGCAGACGGCCAGGCTGGCACTGATCTGGGCCTGTCTGCCCCCAAGGCTGCCCAGCCTCAACCTTCCCTCTTCTGCTTTCACATTAGCCTTGTGCCGCGTGCAGGTGCACCTCATTTTACAGCACTTTGCAGATACAGCGGTTTTTTTTTTAACAGATCAAAGGTATGTGGCAACCCTGCATCAAGGAAATCCATCAGTACCATTTTTCTAAGAGCATTGCTTGCTTCATGTCTCTGTGTCACATTTTGGTAATTCTCAAAATATTTCAGACTTTTTCATTGTTATTATATGTATTATGGTGATCTGTGAGCTTTGATGTTACTGTGACAGCTAGTTAGCATTTTTTAGCAATAAAGTACTTAATTAAGGTATGCACATTGTTTGCTTAGACACAATGCTATTGCACACTTAATAGACTACTGTATAGTATGAACGTAGCTTTTATACGTAGTAGGAAGCCAAAAACTCTGTGTGATTCTATTGCAGTGGTCTGGAACCCAACCCCTGCTATCTCTGAGGTGTGTCTGCAGTCTGCCATTTACTTTAAGAAAGAGTGGAATTAACTTCAGCCATGTCCCAGACCATAATATGTAGCGCTTGTTCATTTTGTCCTAATATGCATCAAAATGGCCCATAAGCCATGTCACACCCGATCGGAAATTCACCCACAACCACCTGAGGTTCTGTGCTAGGCCTTGTTGCTGGGAACTCTGGAGGAGGAGGGAAGGAGACAGTTCACAACGGAAGATAAATCTCTGGAATGCAGGGGCCTGAGCGGGCTGGAGACTGGGGCACCCACAGTTTGCAACGACACCTCCTGTAAGTTTCTAAATCTGTGCGACGATTCAGTGATTTCCAGTCCAGAGAGGAGACTGCAGACTTCCCAGCCTGCCTCCCAGCTCTGTCCCTTACACACTTACCGGGAACCCAGCAGTGGGCTGGGCACCGGCAGCGACCCCGGGGGGGAGGGCATGTCTCCCTTGACATCACCGCCTGGCAATCTGGGGTGTGTGAGTGGGTGTGCACACATATGTGCGGAGTTTAAAGAGAAACAGAAAGGGAATGATTCTGTTAAAAAATACCTATAAATATTCATATCTAAGCATACAAAGAACAAGTATAGAAAATTTTCTTTATAATCTACTACATTGCAAAATAGGTACATAAATGACTATACCTAGAACGGGTGAGGCGGTCAAAAAACCCCTCCCCTCAAATCCTGTAAAGGACAGTTTCAATGGTACAACCTTGGCAGTACGTTTCAAAAGTCTTAAAACCATTTATTCCTTTGACCTAACAAGCCCACTCCTGGGCCTTTGTCCAAAACAAGGGAGGGAAGGGAGACATGAATGATTCCAAGAGATTTCAAAATAATTTCACTACTCAAGATAATACAAAATTAAAAACAGTCAACAGATGATTTTTTAAAGTTGTGGTGTGTTAGTTGCCAACACTATCTTGAACTCAAGATTGTCAAAAAGTTCAGCATGAGGCAGTGTATTAACGCGAAGGGAAAAAAAAAAGGATTCGCCCCCAAGTAAAACAGAAAAGACAAGACTGAATAAAAGTCTGCACTAAGAATGACTGCATATGGATAAAAACTGGTAGAGAATAGGGGAAAATGGAAAGAGTTTATATAGGAAGGGCATGGCGTGTAGCTGGTTATTTTTCTTTTAAAATTTCCTTTATAATTATGATATTTTAAAAATTAAAAAGGGGGATGGGAGGGAGGAAGGAAGGATACAACCCAAATGTCCATCAATGAATGAATGGGTTTAAAAAGAAAAAAAGGTCTCTCCAGACAATGGAATACTATTCATCCTTCAAAGGAAGAAAATTCTGACCCATCTTTACAACATGGATGAACCTTGAAGACATGCTAAGTGAAGTAAGCCAGACATGAAAGGATAAATACTGTGGGATTCCACTTCTCTGAGGCACCTAGAGTAGTCAGACTCATAGAGACAGAAGATAAAA